AGGGGGAGGAGGGAGGGGAAGAAAGACGAGTAGAAAACAGTCTGTGGCTGTTAACTGCGGTCACGGTTTACGGAGGATGTTGTTCTCGGAGGTGACGAAACAATTAACTGCTACGGCAATAAATAATTCGTCTTCAACGGATAAAAAATTACGCGCTACACATAAATATTTCGCCGCGCATGCAAATCCGGTCGCTCCTTTTTGCGCGACGCGCACGCTCGCGTCGTCGAGAACGCGTCGAGTCAGTCCTCGCAAAATATCTTATTTACAAACTTGATAACAAACGACATCTGTGTGTATGTTGTATGCATGAATTTTGGTCGCCGCTGGCCTGCAAACGCGAGGAGAGAATACTTGGGAGATTCGGGTGAATTTATGCGCGACATATAATTCTCCCGAATGGCCGGTAGCTCTTCGCGCATCCGCACTCGAGACAGTGCGATGTCCTATTTCTCTAGGAAAAAATTATTTGTGTCGTTACATATGCGATTTATTAAACATTTGGTATTATTTATGTAAATAATTACATATTTTATGCGAATACGATAGAGAGAGAGAGAGAGAGAGAGAGGTAAAGAAAGAAAGAGAGTGGTTCTCTCTAGACGGTAGCCGTGCCAGAATTGGAAACTCATAAAGAAAAGGTGAAGTGGATAATAAATAAATTATAACTTATATTACACGTCTTGCGTGTGAACGTGTAATGGGGGCGGCAAAAAAAAAGTATTTGCACACTTCGCTCTTCCTCCGGCATAAATTTAGACAAAAAGAGGAAAATATCGTTGCGAGATTCCCTACTTGGCTGTACAGTTTTCAATTGTATCAATATATCGTATAAGAGCACACATGTTTTTTCGTTGCGACATTCCTTTCTTTTTTGTGTAAGATTATCCCTCTTGCAAAAGGGCAGGCTGTGCAAATGCTTCTTTCTATTCACTGCGTGGCGTACGTTTCATTGGCGATGCTTCGATCGTTCTATAATCTGCCGATAATTACGGTATAGATAGTCGGACAGTCGATGCCGTTACGTCAAATTATTATACTGGCTGTTCCTCCAGTTAACGTTCGATAAAAAAATTGAATATAATGCAAATAATTATATTTACAATGAATATATAACGTAAATAATATTTCGTTAGATATACGATGCGTTGTGTTTAATATATCAATAGTTTATTTACGTCGATATATTACGTACATACTAAAAAATCACAGATAAAAAGATTAAGATTCAAGATCCAGTCACTATAAATTAGTATATTAGATCATATATATATCACTATAAATTATTATTAGGTCATATATAGTTAACTTCTTAATACAATAACATTTTACTTTTTAAAAAAAATATATATGTATACTTAAACATAGCCAATAATAGTCTCTCATGTATCCGTTCGTTAATGAATCTCGAATTATTTGCGAGACTAATGGAGGATGAAACATCGCAAACAACTTCGACTTTTTGCGAGATTGCTGGTTTCGAGAAGGAGAAATAACAAAAAAAAAAAACGAAACGTTTGACGCCGTGGCGTGTCAAGTAGCGATCGTTTCTGATTAAAGAAAGAGAGAAAAAAAAATATGCATAACGCTAGACGATATAAATCGCGGGCGAGCCACGGAACAATTATCTACAACGATAACGCAAAACATCGCCGATGACGTAGACGGAGGATGGACGTCGTCGAATTGACCCGACAACACTGCGTCGTTATTAATTAGTCACTTAGAACCCGAAAGCGTTCGCGGACACTCGCGGCGCATCGCACGTCACATCTTCTGCCATTCACGTGTCCGTCCATGTGTAAACGATAACACGATAAATCAAGTTATCGTCGTTATTACAATACTATATGATACAAGATATAAGTACATTGGTTTAGTGATTGCAGGCTGCTCCTCTCATATCACAGCGAGGGGCGCTGCCGGGCCCGCCTCCTAAATTACACCTACGCTTCTCCGCATCCGCGCAGCACGAGAGCCGCCGCAACAGCAGCGGTGCGCTCATACACGTGTATACAACTCGCAAAATTCAAAATTCACGCCCTGCTTTTTCGCACCGATAGAATATATCTCGCACATACATATACATGTATATAATCATTTATCTTTATATATATATATATATATATATATATATTTATAGATAGATCTATATTTATATATATATATATTTTTTTTTTGTATCGTTATGTATATATTTATAACGCAGCCTTAGTTAACCCGGAGAGAGGTGACCACCGCTGTCGCGAATGGACGGTCGGATAGTGTCGGAGGACACCTGTTAGGGCACGACGCCACGTGTCTTGCGGCCCTAGATACACCTACGCTCGCCCAACCCGCGAGCCGAGCTCAGTCTAGGCGCCGTGCCTAGCTCGGGGATTCCCGTACGGAGGATTCGACGTTGCGAACATACCGCACGTAACGTAACGAGGCTCGATCGCGCGCGCAATCAATATTAAAGCGGAGCCGGTCCCGGCTCCGCCGGCTTGAATAAACGACGAGCGGCGGCGCGATCGAACCCCGAAAGTCTCGAGTCTCGAGGACGCTCGCCGAGACCGACGTTCTCGCCGTGTGCTCTAGTAGCACACCTAACTCGGGAGTCGTCGACGGACCGAACGAACGATCGATCGAGTCGATTCACCGCTCATCCCTTTTAACGCATTAAGACTAGTGTGATAATAGGAACATGGCGTCTGCGTTCGCTGGCATCGGGACCACCGGGCATTGGGTAGAGGGAGAGGACGAGGAGGCTGGGCGGGATATGTCATCGTAGAACGGTAGAAGAGAAATGCCAAGTAACTCGATCACCAACTGACCGGCTGGATCTCTCACACTCGAGATCGCGCGCCTCACGATCGTCCCCGAGGCGACCGCCGTCGCGAGTCCGAAGATCGTCCTGCTGCGAAACACCACGCGAGGTCCAAACCACTGCACTCCTCTCGGTCACCGTCGCGACCACTCGTGTCGCGTGGATCGACGGGGAATTCCAGCTCGCGTGGTGTTTCGCAGCAGGACGATCTTCGGACTCGCGACGGCGGTCGCCTCGGGGACGATCGTGAGGCGCGCGATCTCGAGTGTGAGAGATCCNTTCCTCCTCCTCCTCCCTCTCCACCCGCTCTCTAAATTATTCAGTCTGGGGAGTTCTCTCGAAGGAATCGATCATACGATCAGCCTCTAAGCCCTCGGCGGCGAACGTCGTCGCGGCCTTCTACGAGGCGGTGAGATATGTATTTCGTCGAGGTTCTCACGCGGCCAGTCCCTCGCCCCGGGTCGGCGGCGGCGGCAGCCGTGCGGCGGGTGGCGTCGCGTCGCTCTCACCTCTGCTCGGCGTCTCCCGCTCGAAGTGGTGCTGGAGGGCCTCGCCGGTCCAGGCGGTCACCGCGCCGGCGGAGTTCTGGCTGTTCGAGGACGGCGTGCCGGGCGAATGCGACGGCGACGGCGTCTGGAAGAGCATGGAGCCCGAGGGGATCGCGGGCTTCCCGTCCACCAACGGCCCGTTGCTGCTCGCCGCCGTCGGCTGCTTGTCCAGCGGGAAACCGCCGCCGCCGGCGCCGTACACCGAGCCGAACAGGCTCGCGTACTTGCCCGCGCCCACGGAGTGCGGCGGCAGCCCGTTGTTACTTTGTATCACCGAGATCTCGTTCAGCTGCAACCAATCCACGCACCGTCCGGTGAGAACGGGAAATTCCACGACGATTAACGGAGGGAGGGGGGATGTCGGAGTTCAGCGGAATTTTTTCCGCAAGCTATTCCCGTATCTGGCTACGTAGAATCGTAAGTCCTTTTGCACGCTGATGATACATTCGTTAATGTAATCCCGGCTGATCGAAAATAGGAAAGTTTAGAATTGTACCTTTTTTTTTTCGCTACTTCTTGCCAAAACCAATCGATATTCGTTCATATCGAGATATCGTAAGCTATGTTACACAGTTTTAATAAACTATTAGTAGAAACGGGCACATTAGAAGTGCCCTTTTTTTTTATATTAAGTTCTTTTTTTCTTTACCAGTCAAACGGTGCGCGATCACGGAGCCTTTCGTGTCTCTTTGTGATTGCGGCTCATCGAATTCAAAGGTGCGGTGCGAGTTTTGATCAATCTAGAATCACCATTACGAGCTTCTTCTGTGTCGAATACGGACGCTCGTTAACCCTTTATAGAGCAAAATTCCCAGGAAAGATTTCGCCATTTTCTTTTCTCTCTTTTCCAACGATGAAAAAATGATCGAAATGTCGAAATCAGTGAGCCCTGTAAGGGGTAAAAGCGTCAAGCCGATAGAACAGCTTACCTTCTGCTGGACGCCGTTAAGGAACGGCGCGGGAAGGTAGGGGTAAAAGAGATCCGGCCGTCGTTGCAGAAACTCCGAGTCCTTGGGCGTGATTGGCAGGGGCGGCAGATCCAGTGACATTCGTCGGCCTCGGCGCGACGCCCCGTTGGACCACATGTGAGTGCCCAGGTGCACCTGCGGTGAACAGAAAACGCGAGGACGGGATTAGGCGAGCGTCTCGGGTCTCACGGGTTCGGGTGGGCGCTGATCTTTCATCGAGCTCGAGCGAGATTTTTTGGACGCTGGGCGGTTAGTAGAAAGCGATAGCGGCTAGCTGCTGTGTTAGTAGAAACTACTGGCGCCGAGGGAGCCTTGGTGGAAGAGCTCAGACTTTCGGAGACGGGAGCTAGAAACAAATAATGTATATACCTTGAGGTTGCCTTTGGTGGTGAAGGCCTTCTGGCAGACGTGGCATGGGAATGGTTTGTCGCCAGTGTGGGTTCTCATATGGATCTGGAGCGCCGAAGACGAGGAGAAATTCTTATTGCAAATCTGGCACAAGTGCTTGCTCGGCACGCCTGCAAATACACATAACGGTTTCGCTCAACTCTGGCCCTGGACTTCGCTGGTGGAGGATAAACGTATGATCTAAGCGTCGTTATTCGACGTCTCGCGCGTGATCGACCGTGAGAGAGATACCGTGAGAGTCTGATATTTTAGGGCGCCCGTTTCTGCGGCGAAGTACTTGAATCGGCTCCCGAGTTCCACGCGCCACGCCCTTCACCTCGACGCCCTTGTCCCCGACGTTTCGTGAACGTTTCAGCTCGTACAAGAGTATTTTTCATTCCTCACATGGCCCGTCTTTCGACCATTTTCAACCCGTTCTGTCAATTTTACGCTCGTTTTTTGTACTCTCAGAAAAGCAGCAGGTTAATTCATTTCATTCACTTTGTTTTAAACCAGACGAATATACATTTCAGAACTGAACTAAAGATATTTACTCAGGTAATGTACCAGCTCAGAGACGTCTTTTAGATGTCTTATTATCTAAAAGTGTTAGGACGTTTTAATGTTTAATCTAGATCAGTTTAATCTAGATTAAACTGATACTCTCTAATTGCACAATATTTCGTTACACCCTCCAAAATTTGTTCCACTGACAGCTTCGATATTTCGGATCGACGACTTCGAATCTTCGAACTTCGCCGTCGCAGAATACAAATTACACCGAATTACACTGAAATTTCGAACGTCAATACAATTCGGTTATACTCTACGCTATAATCACTCGTTACGGAAAAGTGCCTCCCCTCCTTCCGACCTGAAAGCGAATGCATGTTTTCACTGTCCGAACTAACAGTTTTCGCGGGCTAAAAACAGTGAAAAATATTTTTGTAAGGGTGAGGAACGGTTTCATCGATTCGTTTCATCAGTGTCAGATCGTTCCTCATCCTAAGGAAGCGAAACTCTCCGAGATGTTCGTGAAACGTCGGAAACGGATTCGTGAATGACGCGACGTTAAACTCGAGGTAATTCGAATAGAATCAAGTAAATACGTGAGACCCGTTGAAAATGATCACGCGGCACGAACAGACCGTGGGTCTGCCTCTCTGCCGGGGGGATTCGTTCGCTAATTAAATAATGACAGCGCGCCCGATCGGTGGCGGTCGAAGGTGTTTACACACACACGTACAAGAAATTCAGCTCGTTCCGCGAACGGGCGAGTAAAGGTAAAATAGAGAAGAAGAATACAAAGAGAAAATACGAGCGTTGCACCCGTCACCAGCGATTCAGCGTGCGCGGCAGAATCACGCGCGGGGAGGGAAGGCGTGATGAAGAAGCGGCGGAAGAATAAGAGGGAGGGAACAGGCTAACAAGCGTGCGAAGCAGCAGCGGCGGCGGCACAGCGCGTCCGACAGACCAAACCTATGTGGTTTTGGTTAGCGACCAAAGGACTGGAGAGGTTGCGATTAACGACGCGTTAGCGATAAAGAACGGGTCTGCAGCGAGCGAAGCTGACCCGAGTCGAAATTTCAGTTCCACATCGAGGGCCCGTATTCTGAGCTCTCTTTTATCGATAAAAGTGCCTTAAAGCGCGGTTTGTCAACCAATCGGGCGGTTTTTTTCCTTCAATAAGACACTTTTGGAAGCACTTTTATCGATAAAGGAGAGTTCGGAACACGAACTTAAGGACGGAAGTACATGAAGAAAAACTTGAGCGGCAAGACTTAAGTAGAAAGCAAATTGACCGATCACAATCAACTGTTCTCCTTATGATTTACAGAATAATCGAGTGAGGTCAGTTTGGTCAGTTTCCTCACTGTTTAAGTGTTTCTACGTGCTCCTAAGTCTACTTGATTCCACATCAAGTCATCATCAGGTTTTCTATTGTGTTCTTTTGATACTGCAAATGGGAAGTTGCTTCCTCCACTTGAAAACAATGCAGAACTACAATTTCGACTCCGGGGAGTCCGGATTATAGTTTCAAAGGCTCGTGGGAAAAACCTGGTTCTTTTTTAATTTTTCCGCAGAAAAATAAAGAAGAAGGAAGGGTTTTTCCTTAAACTATAATTCAAATGATACGTGCGGCGCTCGATGAAGAAGCGGATTGAGTCTGTTTTTTTTTTTCTTTCCATCTTCCTTTCTCTCTCTCTCTCTCTCTCTCTCTGTTTCTCTCTTCGCGGGAAAGCATGCGAAAAGCATACTCACTGGCTGATCTCTTCGGCGCTGGCAGATTTCCGTCCGGCGGTGACCTTTTCACCGGCATCGCCGACTCGATGGACGTCGGCGGCATCGGCGGTGGCGGCGGCGGCGGGGGCGGCGGGGGCGGTAGGCTCGAGTCGTCGGTGCCCATAGGACTCCTGGAAGTCTCGTGATCCTGCGATTGCTGCTGCTGCTGCTGTTGCTGCTGATGCTGCTGGTGTTTGGCGTCGCTGAACAGATGTGGCGGCATATCGCGGATCTTGTGAGTCAGCATATGCTGCTTCATATTACCCTGCGGGCGAGAAAACACGTCCTTTTGTATTTAATCGAGCGATTGACGGTGGTCCCTGGGAAAGAACAGTCGCGGCATTGTTATTAATGACGTCGGGCGTTTCTCGAAAGCGACATCTCGCTCGATATCGCGTCTCTCCCGTCGAGGCGCTCCGGGTCGAGATATTACAGAGATCTATGAGTATTCGACCGGTAAGAGTGGTGGTTTCTCTCCTTTCTCTCTTTGCAACGATTTCCCGCGTGGAAGTTAACTCACGCATCGTGAACGTCACCCGTCGTGAAATACCCGTTCGATATATTTGCCGGCTTCTTCGAAACGGAAGAGAATTTTGCGCTTTCAGCTAGACGGACGTTTCGTTAGTCCTGGTCCGAGCGATAATATCGGGAGAATTCGCCGAGATATTGCGTTTTACTTGGGGCGTGGGACTCGCTCGCGAGACGCGGATGCCCCGATATTATTATTACGTGATCGGAACGAGAAGACTCGGCAAGATGAGAGCGATTGATCGACCGCGTGAGATCGCGGATGGGACGGACGTGAGTACGCTTGCTGTTCAGAAGGCTCTTACCAGGAAGACGTGGTCCGAGGGTAGAAGTCCGAGGGCGGGTGGCATCAGCGGGGGCAGGCGGACGACAGGATAAACAGACGTCAGCCTTCGCCCCCCTCCTGTTCCTGTCCGCCCCCGGTTCTTCCGCTCCTCAGGCCGCCGCCGCCTGCGTTTCGGTTTCTCACGACTTCCGTCGGCCGATCTCGCCGGGTACGAGTGATATTGGGGATCGGGTTGTGGGGGGATCGAACCCTTCGCGGCGAAGGGTTGGTCCGCGCAGGAGCATACTTGCTGACCGGAACCGTCGTTCTGAAAGTATCGCAGAACAACGAGAATATAGAGGCGGTGCGAGCAGGTTTATGTCTCACGCAGCTCCGTGCGAGAAACGCAATATCTCCGGCATTTTATTACATGCCGATTAAACCGTCCGCGCCTGCATCATTGCGACGTTAGCATCGGCGTCAAGTGCCATTGGATACCCTCAGTTACATCTAGGGATGTTGTGACACCGTGAGAGTATCGATACTGATATTGAAACGGGCGTCTAATCAAGAATTATATGTCAAAGCAAAAATATAGATTACCGATACTGGCAGCGAAACTGAAAAAAATTATAATTACAGGAAATATAAAAATCAGAGAAGTGGGTTGTCTTGCAAGTTACTTTTGTAAAGGTTTCATACATTTGCGCATAATAATCTTACAGTGATATAAAGATACTTCTATCTTCTGTATTAGATTTAATACAGTTTGTGATCTGAAAACCGTAAAAAGGATGTGTTAAGGCGCCTGTGTCCTTGCTATGACTGTCCTTGTTTGATGACGTCAGGAACGAGAAATCGCACGCCAGAAATGATTGCGATATACGTGGAAGTAAAACAATATGCATATAAAAAAAATACAAAATATACATACAAAAGGACACTTGTGGTCGACTCCGCACACTTGTAAAAATATCCAGACGCTTTCCTTTTGTTTTAGCAGTCAATAAATAACCGTGAAATTAACATAACAGAAATCATGAAAAAAGATAGGTTTGAAACCTAAGTTGTACATCTCACTAATTTTCATTGAACAAAATACGTGATATCTTGAAGGTCGACTGAGTAAAAAATGAAAAAAAAAAAAGATATGGGAGAGAAAATATTACTGATATAGGCACGAATATCGAAGGAAATATCGATAGAAAAATACTCGGGATTGAAAGAAAAGTATCGATACCAGTATTATATCGGTAATATCACAACATCCTTAGTTACGTCGAATATCGAAGGCAATGGATGCGTTCGGAAAAGACAACGACTGTGCAAGCGCCGAGTGATTATCGCCTTTGATTGAGGTATTCTTTTAGATCCATGGTCAATCTAAAGGAACGTTCTAATAAACAATAGGCGCTCACTCAACCGTTATGTTTTCTAAACGCAGCCAATACAAGGAAAGAAAAGAGGGCGAAGAGAAGAGAGTAAGGGGGATATATTTCATTTTAGCGTTTCCCTCTCTCTCTCTCTCTCTCTCTTTCCCTCTCTCCCTCTCCAAATTAATATATCATACATAAGTAATTTGTAGATTTTTTTTTTTTTTTAATGGAATGTCTACACAGATACGAAGGAAGTAATATCGAGGTAATTGGGTGTGTCAGAGTCAGCGATTTATTTCGACATGTGGTACGAATCGCATCAAGGTAGCGTATAACATATACAAGCGGGAGAAAGAGAGGGAGAGAGATTACCGGGCTGCGATATATTCGCTCTATCGAGGTAAAGTAGATTTAATTACCTTCGTGGAAAAGCCTCGGTCGCATATGGTGCATTTGAAAGGTCGCTCCTTCGTATGACTCCGGTAATGAATCTCTAATGCGGAGTTGCACGCGAACGTCTTGTAGCAGATATTACATGTGGTGTTTCCACGTACTGTAACAGATCGTATCGCTTTACAATTTCGATTCTGTGTCTTCCACCTGCGTGTGTGCCATCGTTTATGTTTCTCTTTGAGGAAATTTTTTTCCTTTTTAATTTGCCGCGCTCTCACTGCGTCGAGAGCTCCCGTGTTGTGTGAAATTTCTCGCGCGAAGTTCCCGGCGGATGTATAATTTGCATATTTGGAAAACACAAGGTTGCGCACCTCGGTGCTCTATGCGATAGTTTTTTGGTTTTTTATTTCGACAGGTATTTACAAACAATCTGCGATAAATCAAGATAAAGCGAAACGGAATAGTAAAGAGGATGGGGGTGAATCGTGAATGCAAGAATAAATTGTACAAAAAAAAGTTTATTTCTCGATTTATACAATGTGTAACGTCACCGAATAAATGCTACACCACATAAATGCTATAAGGTCCGTGATTTCAAGATCACAATCAACTAAATGGATAACATCTGCTGTAGTAACGAAAATAATTTTACGCTTACAAAACGGGGGGTGCGCTAATAATTCTCTTTACACATCGCGCGTACATCTCGATGAGGGAATAGATTTTTCCCTCGTGTCTTTGTTAAACGCAAAAAACAGTAAAAACATCTTCTTCGTCAAAAGTGATGAAACGTCTCACGATGTGCGTAGTGCGCGCTCCCGCAACAAATCCGACGATTACAACGAGAAACAGAAACCATCGTGTGAAATCACGGGAGAGATAGAGAAGGACAAAGTCTCGTGTAGAGTAACTCCGTAGTGTAGATATGAAATAATGCAGATAGAGATGCAGAAGAAAGAGAGAGAGAGACATCGACAGATACAGAGCTACCGTGAAAAGAGGTGAACGAAAGAGAAAGCGAAACGAAAGAAGAAGTATAAAGACCCGGGGGAGACCGGGAGTGCTAGGTCCGGCTACACCACAAGTGGGGAACGTTGGCGTCAGACTGAGGACAGAAGTGGCGGAGACACGTCACGGAGGAAAGAGAGGAGGTGTGTGCGTGTGTTGGACGAGTCGTGGGGGAGGGAAGGTTCTCAGCGATAACGTGGCAAAGAATGGTCGATCGGACCAGGGGAGGGTGTAGCAGGAACTGCAGCTCGGGCCGATGCTAGCAGCGCCTACCTGCTGACCCTCCGACAGCTAGACCGAGCGGATTGTAGGAGGACGTCGCGGCTAGTACGGCCGAGGTGGTCAGGGAAGCTAACGGTCCGCTGCCACCGGTGCCCGGCGTCACGGCGCTCATCGAGGCGACGCTGTTTATGCTCGACGAGCCCATCGTGCTCGTGGCGGGGGTCGAGGAGACCGCTTGCAGCAGCCCTGCGAACATGCCGAAGGGATGCGGCGGCGGATGGTGCGTCTGGGGCGGCGGTGTCGGCGACGCTGACGCCACCGAGGCCGGCGTCGACGAGGCGCGCGGGGTCAGGTCGAGCGGCGCGCCGGACGTCGGCGGACTGTCGCTTTTCTCGCTGCCGTTGTGAAACCGGTGAAAGGACGGCGACCTGGCGACGTTCGCCACCGTGGTCGTCGCGGTGGTGGTAATGGTCCTGACTTGATTCTCGAGAGCCGCCAGCGACGTCGAGAACATCGGCAGCGCGATGTCCTTGTGCTCGGTGTCTTCGTGCTCCTGCTCGTCCTCGGCGCTGCGCCGACTCACCTCGCACCTCTCGTCGTCCTCCCTGCGGTCCTTCTCGTCCTCCTCTTGATCCTCCACTTCCTCGCCGTGATCCTCCATGAATCTCGGCGGCTGCTGCTGCCGCTCCTCCTTCGGCTCCATGTCGTTCTCCTGCGTCTGCCGCTCGAGCGTCGTCACCTGCCTCGGGGGGAATCCCAGGAAGCTACCGCCGGTCGGATGCAACGGCGGGAACGCCTGCGGCAGGAAGGACGCCAGCGGATGGTGGTGGTAGCCGGACGGAAACTCGTTCACCTCCTCCGCTTGGATCTGCTCCGGGCTGAGATCGGTGGGCTCGCCGGTGTGAAGGCGTATGTGCTGCTGGAGCACCAGCGAGTTCGTGAACTTCTTGTGACAGACGGGGCACTGGTGCAGCACTCTCAACGGGGGCTTCGCCCGGTGCACGCCCATGTGGGTCTTCAGGTTGCCCTTCGTGGTGAAGGCGCGGCCGCAGATCTTGCACTTGAACGGACGCTCGCCCGTGTGGGTGCGGTAATGCATCTGCAAGGCGCTCTTGCAGGAGAGCACTCGGTGGCAGATGACGCACTGGTTCGGGTCGGTCAGCTTGTGCTCGATGTTGTCGACCAGCTGCTGCAGCTTGGACGTCTCCGAGGTTTTCGTGATCTCGATCAGACTCTCCCAGGAGTTGTCGTTGCTGCCCGGTCGCGGCAGCAGGCTCGAGTAGATCGCCGGGTCCTTGGCCGGGTCGATCATCTCGGAGACGGCTGGCGTCGCACCACCGGTCGACGCCGACAGGTGGGATATCTGATGGTGCGCCGGCGGCCCTGGGAAGAGGATCCCGGCGAAGGAGGTCTGGAGGCTACCGCTGCTCGCGCTGCTGCTGGCCGGAGACGCTCCCGGATAGGCGACGATCTGTTGCGGCAGCCGGCCGATCGCGCCCCTGCCGGACAGGTTCTCCGGTTGCTCCTCCGTCTCCTCGTCCAGCTCCAGGTCAGCGTCGCCTTCTAGACGGCCGCTGATCTTGCTGTCCATGCTGCAGTCCTCGTACGTCTGCGGCTGCGACGACGGATTGACCGAGGATTGAGGGGAATTCAAGTATCGCCTCGTGCTCTCTTCGTAGTCTTCGGCTTCCTCCTCGACGGCCTCCTCCGCGTCATCGGGCTCCCTCTTCGGGGTTATTCGCTCGGCGTTCTCTTGGCTCGTCGGCCGGTATTGCTCCTGCCCGGGCGATCTCTGCTCGAGCTTGATCTCCTCCCTTTGCTCGAGCTGCTGCTTCTGTTGTTGTTGTTGGTGATTGTCGTGAAAGGAATGACGAGAGTTCGACATGGCGACGGGGGAATGCGGGGACGTCGACGGGGCGACGGTTACGGGTTTACTAAGGTTCTCCGGCACATCCTGATCGTCCCGGTGATTAATATTCGGCGGTCGGTAAATGGGTGGCATACCGGGCAAGGTGAGGCTCAGAGGTATGGGCGGCTGAGGTGGTAGGAAATTGTGCGTTGCCGCCGGATGAAACGAGGGATGATGAGAGGGCGGCGGCGGCGGCGGCGGCGGCGGGGACGGCATTGGCCTCTGCCCAGAAGCGATTTGCTGCAAGAGGGGTGGGTGGTACTTGTCAAGATGTTCTGGAACGGGATTCGGATTCATCTTAACGTGCGGAAACTTGGCCGTATGCCTCTGGAAGTGGACCTTCAGGTTGCCCTTGGTCGTGAACCGGCTGCCGCAGACGTTGCACTTAAAGGGTCGCTCACCTGTGTGGGATCGTATGTGGATCTGCAAGGCGGAGTCACTACCGAAGACCTTGCCGCAATATCGGCACCGGTGCTTGAAGAAGGGCTCGCCGCGGCCGCTCGACTTCGAGTCGTACGGTGGTAGGCGCGAGCCTTTGCCGCTTCTGAACGCGAGCTCGTCGGCGAGATTGTTAGCCAAGAGGCCTTGGCTCGCATTGTCCAGCACCTCCTGGGCGCGTTTCTGCAGCATCTCGAGGGTGTTCGGCTCGTGTAGCGGCGGCGGGTCCGTGTTCGTTATGATCGACGAGGCGAGGGACGAGCTTATCGAGCAGTGCGGTATCGGCTGGGAGATCTGGCTGCAGGCGGTCGTGGCGGCGGTGGTCGACGTCACGCTCGCCGTGGACAGGGGTAGGCTCAACGGGGAGGCGCTGCTCGTCGGCCGCTCTTGAAGCAGACTCGGCGTCATCGGCGCCGGCGACGTCTGCTGATGGTGGCTCGGCGGTCGCGAAGTCGGCGGCGACGTGAGAGTCGACAACGGTTTCGTGTGAATGATCGGAGACGGCGACGCCTCCTTGCTGTCGGCTGGCTCAGTCGTCGATACCTGCGGCACTGTCTGCCCGTGAGTTATCGACAATTGCTGCTGTAGCTGGCTGATCAGCTGCAACTGGAATACCTGTTGATGCTGCAGCGTGTACAACGTGCTCTGCAGAAAAGCCAGATCCTGCAGAGCCGCCTCGCTGTCAGCACCACCGGCGAGGGCAGTCGCGGCGAACTGCGCTACCGCCACCTTCGTGTTTTGCAGAGCCTCGAGGGTGACGTGACTAGTTCCAGCGGGCGGAAAGATGGCGGATGCCGTACCGCTCTCCACGAAATTATTGTTGTTCTCCGCGTCTTGCCGATGGCGGATCTGCTTGCGAGAGCCCTCCTCGTCTTCATCCTGATCCTCCTGCTCGTCGACGCCTTCTTCCTCGTCCTCTTCCAGAGGGTCCTCGGCGTCCTTGTCGTCGTCGTCGCCCTGATGCGGCCTCGCCGCCGTGAGATCGACGGCCTCCTCGCCAATTGCCCCGCCACCGCCGCTTTCCTCGCCGTCCGAAGTGAAGTCATTCTCCTCTTCTGAAACAGAACGATGAGGATCGATAAGAGTCGCTCCTTCCCTTCTCCTTTCTTTCTGTTTACGTTAAGAGCCAGCGAAAATTTCGCTCGCGCCTCTTCAAAAACCGCGCTCTCGACCGGCATTTTTCATATTACGCGCGAAACCGCCGATAACGCTGTGCACACGCGTGCGCGATGCTCGTCGTTAAAATAAGGGCAGACCCGTGCGAGCTTTTAAGATTTCACCCGGCGTCACTTAACGCGAGCGTCAACGTTACCGTGGAAGATAAGTTGCCGTCCAATATGCATATTACACTCAGGATGTGCGACGAAAGCAGAATTCGTAATGACGGTGATACAAGCGCGGCGAGTTTCCGGTTTTTTGCGGTCGAAACCGTTCTCTGGCCGGGAGTTCGGCCAATTTGAGAAAGCTCGATTGGGAGAGTAAGCATGCGGAGTAAAAATACCCGTTACCGAAGAGACTCAATTTCTTATAAATTATAGAAAGTAAAATAGTCGAAATAGTGTTTTTCGACGAATTTTTTCTGAAAATTCAATGTATATTAGCATAGACATTGTACATAGTTTGCCAGACACGATTGAACTTTTTTTACGATTGAGGAATGTTTTTAGGTTACGTGACTTTAATTTTGTCCTTTCTCTAGCTGAATATGCTAAATACGTGGATGCAAATGCTAGGATTCGTAAACAACATTTTTTATATCTTGGCGTAGCGTCGAAATTTTCTTTCTCAAAATAAAACTGTACTTTTTGAAAGGCTTTGAAGATAATTCAAGCAACGACATTTCTTTCGAATAATAGGAGAAAACGATTTAATTCGTCGATATAAACATTCGAAAAAATTCGCGTAATGTAATTAATGTCTAAGCGTCAGTTCAACAATCTCCGATTAATTTAATCCGCTGATTATTCCACTGGAATTGCCCAATCGCATTTGTGCTTAAGCAGAATTGACTAGAAATAACCAATCACGGTTGACACTTAACCGGTTTGTTAATCGGAGGCTATTAAACTGGTCCTAAATGTTGATGTGAAATAATGACGATTGATGAAATGATGTGAAACATAGATATCTTTCTCTTTCTCGCTCTCTAGAAATGGCAAAATGATCTTTTTATTGATACATTCAATCAGGATATATTCTTCTAATCTCGGTAATGAGGTCTTTTAATCTATGTATATTTATCTTGTACTTTTTTTTTTTTCAGTAACATCGGTGCTTCCGCTCGCTCGAGACAAGTCAACTTGGCGTGTCGGTTTAGCCGTGATTATAACGCGCGGACGACGACGATTGTTGTCGTCGTCGTCGTTGTCTTGGGAAATACGAGGAAGTATGTCGCGTTAAATTTTAATGTCGGCGAGAAGCGAGGACACAACCGGGGGGAGTATTTGTGTCAATGATAAAAATATATATAAGCACGACGATTAGTATGCTTCGCATAACGCGTGAAACTTGCGATCGGTTTCGCGCCACACAAAATCAACAACAGAGAGCGGCGAAGCGCGCGCGCGCGCGCGTGCGCGTGACCGTTGAAAAATGGAAATCGCGCGATTGTCATTCCCGGCGTGAACTTCCCCGCTTAGAATCGGTCAAACGCCGTTTCACCGGCGCTTCGTTAAATTTTAGCCGGCTGTCTCGCGAGTTCGTCGCGCGCATGCGGCTTTTGCCGAAAAATGCGCAAAATGTCCGCGTTGCGCGCTCGATCGGCGCGCTCTCTTCGAGTGCGCTCGTCGAGAACACTGAACTCGCCTTCGATCAGGGTGACGTGAAATTTCCACTATGAGAAATGAAGTGCCGATTCCTCCGCCCGCGCTCGAAACTTTCGAATTTCACAGCGGGTGTCCACGGGAAACGACGCATTTCGTCGCAACTGTCCGAAGATGTCCGTCATAACCAATGAATCACTCGCAGATTAGAATCTGAATTGCTTCTTTTCGCTTTTAACGACGCAGCAAGATGCCCGCGGTAAACAGCGCTTGTTCGTTTCTAACGGATGAGTAATACGGTGGAGATGAAGGATATGTTTGTACCCGGAGACGTTTTAATAAAGTATCAAGTTTTTATGGTCGCGCACACGCAGTGTTTATGTCATAATTAATAAAATCTTGCTTACGTATTAAATGTAACAAGTTTTATACGATTTCCGGAGCAGTTGGCATAACATTGGATTGGGCCTCGTTAAATCTCAATTTTAATATAACTGTGAATATGTTAAGGACTAATATAGTGAATTATATAAAAATTTCCGAATTTTTGACGATTTTGTTCTGAGCATGTACCCACAGGACTTTACGATTTATTGTAACGTCCACGATGTATGTGTATACATGTACACATTTAAATGTTTATATGGCACTTTTTTTATTGTGTGCACCTCTATTAGCCCGTGTGACGTATAAATAAAACATTTTAATATGAAAACTAAAAAATAAATAATATTTCCGTATTTGTAATATTATATATATATATATATATATATATCTTAATTTCGCTTAAAATTAACATTTATTATTTAGATAGTTAAATAAAGTTACGTGAGAAAGTTTTCTCCAATAAATAATATATTTACGAAGGGATCCCTTAATAACGCTAGTGAAAATCCACTATCCTATGGATCATAAGCCTTGTTGAAAATTTCCCGGTGGATTCCTACAGGAAATCCAAAGACACTTGTGTGAATATCCATACAGAATATTAAAAATCCACGTAGGAATCCACATGGATCGTTACCTAAGACCTGGGTTTTGACGCAAATCTCCGCGGGCAAACATGAGACTCCAACATGGATCTCCTACACGAATTCCCATCTGGTTTTTCTCAACAGGGGCTACATCAAGATAATTGAACAGAAAGTTACCGGTCGGTACGCGTGTTAAACGATCGGCGTAAACAAGCCCATGTCTACTCTCTCTCTCATCACACAACGCGATCGCTCGGCCCGATCGTTCCCCGATTCACACACGTCCCCGGAGGATGTCTCAGGGTGTTCCAACACACATCTCAGAAGCGACTCACCCTGGGCCGGGCTCTTCTCCAGCCGCGACTTGTTAGACCCGCGCGACTCCAGTCGGCGCGTTATGCTCCATCTCATAAGCCGCATCCCGCCGGGGATTTGCGCGCCCTCCTCCGCCCGTGGCTCAAACATTTGACGCGTCGTCGCTGGTCGTCGTCATTCGGCCGGCGCCGGATGGCGCGAGCAGCAACAGCTACGCGGCGGGTCGCGGATCCCGAGAACGGCGCGCGTGTCGCGCCGGAAACCGGAAGCGTCGTCGCGCCGACATCGAGAACTGGTCATACGGTCGCAGCACACACCGGTGACGCACGACGGCCGATCGCGGTATAGGATTGCTGCGCGCGACGAACGCGTACCCACGTCCGTGACGCTCGTGTCATCGAGAGCAAGGACGAAAACCGACTGATCGCTCGCTAAAGAACCAGCCTGGGCGTAAGTACGACAAGCGCAACACCACCATCCGCTCCGAGGTCCCCCACCAACACCACCATCGGCGGCGGCGGCGGCGTTGGCGGCGGTGGTTTCCTCCGCATCCCACTCTGCTACTATCTCTCTCTCTCTTTCTCTCTCGCGGGTATACACCGACGCGAACTTCCACCACCACCGGTTACCCTCCGCTTCGGTTATGACATGGAAGGCGGTGCGGTTCATAAATCAGGGGGAAAAGGGGCGGCGCTTGCGCGAGCCACTCACCGACGGGTTATTAATTATTATCCAGCGCGCCGGGCGCGATACCCTGCCGCCGTCGAGCTCTCGCCTCGTCGCCGCCACCACCACCTACGCGCGCCGCCAACCCTCCTGTCCCCCAGATGTTCGCCAGCGGGAGGTCCGCGGCGTCGTCGCGCCGATTTGCGCTCGATTTCGCCTCTCTCTCGCCGCCGCGTGCGCGCGCGATAGATATTCCGACCATTTCGCGCGCGCGATGGATTGCGGATACGCGCGATCCCGCGACGATAAATTACGCCGGCCGAGTGTATCGAGCGAGCTCTCTCGCGTAATTTCGGATGATAATGCGCGGCAGAATTACGCGATAATCGATGCCCCGCTGATTTCGCGGTGACCTTCGTCGCGCTTCTAGGCGCGGAGGGGGGGCCTCCGCGTAACGTGACACGCGTCCGACGTTTCCCGACGCCCCGTGCGCGCTCGCGAGAGGGAAGGACGGATCTCCGTGGACCTGCTAATAGCGGCGTTGAAAAATGAGTTCGTTTGACACACGTACCAACCGGACGCGTTTTGGCGTTTGAAGGAAAGAACATTTTCAGCTCCCGAGCAAATTTCGTTCTTACAATCGGAAATTCTGTTCTCTCCGGCCGAACAGCGTTTGGTTGTCCGTTAAACGGAGAAAGATCATTCGCTGGCGCAGCAATTTTTTATTACGTCGAAATCTGCCAGTTACTGCCGCGAATCTGTAAGGGTGAAACAAAGCGCTGCTTTGTTCTAAGCTACAAATGAATGTCCTAAGAACAGATTCGCCCGGTAGAATACTTTCTATCCCGGCGACGAAACTATTTCTGTTCTAATTGCGAATAATTCTAATTTAGTTGTACCAATTAAATTTTGTCACAAACAAAGTTTGCAGATTTTATAAACCAAATTTGGCTGCTGCAACCTAAAGTTCTGTTTTCTGGACTTCCGACCAGACTCGCTTTTCAATGTGAAACGAGATAGCGTCGTCCTACATTTACTAATTTGTTCTTGCGGCAAAATAATGTTGGTAAAAATTCAACAAAATATGTCCAGCAAACGCTAATTTTATTCGAATGACAAATCGTTCTGCCGCCTCCACGTAGCGACTGACGGATTTGCTTGCAAAAAATTTGCCGTGCCGGCAAATTATTTTTCTCCGCGCACTCGTCCGTACATCTCGGCCGGAACAAAAGACATGTCTTGGGCGTGGTCTGGTTTGACTTCCCAGACACGCAGCTGAGCCGAGCATTACCGGATTATCCGCGGGGTCTATAAAAAATAGGTTTAGAGCTTGATTACACGTTGTACCGGGCGAAATTACTGGAGCCACGGATATCGGAGCGCGGCGATGGTTATCAGTTAGTTAATTAAACGTGTGAGTCGCAAAGACTCCTCACGAGGAAGCCACGCAGTCAAGATGTCGTCCATTCGATGAGGAATTCGGTGGTCTCCTGCGAAGCGGCAAATCGGCTCGATTTTCACTTTTCACTACTTGTGAATTCACAATCTCGTTGGAAAGCGTCGGCGACACTTTGTACAGAGCAGCGTCGGCGGGCGGGCGACACCTCGGGCGCGAGCTCACGACTGGTTTCACGCAGCCCACGGGCGACAAGGCTCGACGTGAGGTTTTGACGTCTTTTTCTTCCATCTCGGCAGAAATGGCGAGTATAATGTCCGCCGAATCAAAAGCGCAAACCGGAGAGACGTTTCGGGCTCTCTTTGTTGCGCAACGCATCGAAATCCAACCGGGTAGCCGGCGACCCCCACGGAGCGGAAGAGAGGGAATGCATTGTCCGGGGGACGCGTTCCAGAGCTCTTCGACGAGAGGCGAGCGGGCTCACCGCATACATCAATTCATACCGCGATAAATCATAAACTCTCCTAGGTAGGTAGGTCAGCCCCGAGCGCGCGGAGGAACCTGCCACGTCGGCGACGAGCCGAGAGAACGCAGCCCGGGCGCGTTCGTTGACTGCGACTGCCACGGACAATGCGAAAATGGGTCGGAAGTCATAATTCACGCTGCCGGTCTGTGCAACAGCGGCAGCAGCAACAGCGCAGCAACACCACCACCACCAACCACCACCAACACCATCGTCGTCATCACCCGTCGTCACCATCGGTGGCGGCACGGTCTCGTTCGGAGCATCTCTCCCGCGAGACAGCACAAACATTTTAGCCGGGAGAAGTTACGAATTTGTCAGGAGATGGCCGTCGATAGCCGGGCCCCGTTCTTCACTGATTTTCCAGCGAGGGACTCTCGGACGAACCTTCCGTGAGCGATAATGGTGCCGGCTGCTTCGTAAAGTAGAGACGTTTCCTCCCGGAGATCTTTGATCCGCGCCGATAACGTCTTCCAGTCCTGTTACCGCGAGCGAGAGAGACGGGGAAAGAGACGGACGGAGAGAGAGAGAGAGAGAGAGGAAGGAAGGAGAGACTCCGGAGGTGAGTTCCCTCGTGCGAGAAAAGCGGGGGCAACATTTTTCGCGCGTACGCGAGGGACGAATGCGTCGTGAAGTGGGAATAAAAATGAAGATAGGTGCGATCGCGTACTACTCGTTACAATCTCGCATACCAATTAACACGACCGCACGCTCTAGTGCTTTTTCGCGTTGAGTTTCGACTCCGGACGATGAGTGGCAAATGTTGGCGAATGTCGGAAATTATATTGATTACGCGTATGTATATTATTTACGTTATACTATATTTGTTGTAGTATCACGTATGCTACATTATATCAATTATATCGGCAATTATCAGACAATTACATCAGCTTCTTTATTACTGGCTCACCCTTTGGTCTGCGTTTCTGTTTATCGTATTCTCTCTCGTGACCGTCTCTCATACCTGCCTTCGATTTTTTTTCTGTTTACTAACGCTTGCCGATATCTACGATTGAGAATATCTTGATTTGAGACTAATTTTTCTTTCCGTGTACGCAAATGAAGGTAGGTGCCGCACTGCTTTGCGGCTTACTTATGTGTTGTTCCCGCGCTCTACAAGCATCTGTCGCTATCCATCCACCGCGTCGACAAAATTGTGACATACGTTCCATTCGGAGCGCTGATTAATTAATTAAGTGTCACTGTTGCGGGATCATTCGGCCGACGATGTGTTCCGATTACATCGTTATGCGGAGCGAGAATCTCCGAGAATGCGAGAGGAAACGACGGAAAATCTCACGGTGGGCAGATTATTGGCGGTTATACATGGCGCGGTCTTATCTTCAGACGTGAATCTTCATACGAGATACTTCGATATCAACGAGAGAACGTCAGGATACTTTCTTCGCATATAATTTCGCTTTACTCGCGTCGATCGGGTGCGGGCGTGCGGAATCTTTTTCTCTGTTTTTTCGTTCTTCGTTCTTTTCCTTTTTCTCCCCCCTCTTTCTCTCTCACATTGACGAGATGTGGCCGTACTATTTTCACGTTGCCAACCGGTTTCCGTGCTCTCGGCGGAGCGATCATTATTCATTCCGATCCGGATCCGCGTTCGCGCGCGATGAAATGTGCGGATCATGTGTCGCTTAGATTAAAGGAATTCCTGTCTGTGCGTCTCGCTCTCGCAGGAGTGCAAGGTCGCAGCTGTCGGGCGCGAAGGAGGTCGGTCGATAAGAGCAACGACTGAACGAAGAATCGCCGAGGGTCGTTGCTCTTCCCCTGGTTCCGAGTCGCGCGAGCGGGCGACTCGCTACGTCGAGTCATCTCCGTCGAATACAAGAAAGATCCCGTATTCGTAGCGACGGGGTCGAGTCTCGTTTAAATAAGTTAACAGTGGCGAGCGAAGACGAAGCGGATCGGCGGACGGAGAAAGGGAGACGACGATGGAGAAGAAGAGGGTGAGAAACGCGGACCTGCTGAACAGAGAGAAAGAGAGAGGGACGCGCGAGCGAAGGAGACGAGACGACGAAGGTACCGAGAAAGAGGGACGGAGAGAGAGAGAGAGAGAGAGAAAGTGAAAAGGGAGCACGAGTGGGAGAGAATGTGAGAGATAGAGAGAAGAGAGCTGAGGGAAATTGCACGTGGCGCTTCACGATTGGCTCGCACCTGTCTCCTTGGACCGCCCTCCTTCAACCCCGATCGCGCGCGCGACGTGCCTACGTCGTACCTAATACGCTTTCTTGCTCGTTGCATATAGTATGCGGCGTATCGGCCGCATGTATGCACGCCGTGCACACTTTCTCGCACACACAGGTGCGCGAGTATTGTGCGGCAAGGTGTCCGTGCTACGGAGCCGTGTAATGAACCACCACCACCATCACCATCACCAATACTAGTTGATACCCGCGACCAACAGCAGCAGCAGCAGCATCACTACTACCACTACCCACCGTCGTCAGTACACCGCCGCCGCCACCACCGCCGCCACCACCATCGGTATCACCACCGTCGTTGCCGCTTTACTCCTACCTCCTTCCACCGAGCGAAGAAGCTCGCCGTCGTTGGCAAAAGTAGGGAGCCGGAACTAAGTGGGGGCGAGAGTTGCGGCGGAAGGTTCTCTGCCGTCTCCGGGTAAGGAAAGGATAGGACGATAGTACATATTATACTTTTGTACAGACTCTGTGTGTGCGCGAGCGCGCGGGGGAGGAGGGCACAGGGAAAGGGTGGTAGGCAGGCATAGCCGCGGTTACACGCGGTTAATCTATCTCCGGGTAGACACTAAAGCGCAAGATGGAAGTCTCCTTCCATTGCGATTGCC